AGTTAAGCAGCTGTCTTCGGCTCAGGTCATGATCCCAGGTCCTGGGATCGAGCCCCACATCAGGCTCCCTGCTGAGCAGGGAGCCTGCTTCTCCTTCTCCCTCTGCCTGCTGCTTCCCCTACTTGTACACTCTCTTTCTCTGTTAAAAATAAATAAAAAATCTTGGAAAAAAAAAAAAACAACAGGTGATGTTAATATGCATTCACAGGCCGTGTCTGCAAAATGGCTAATTGCAGATAGTATGGTTTCCTCTTAACTGGTCAGATCTAGGAACAGTTGAGGGCAAAGACTGGTCTGAGGGGTCAGGACAGGAAATGGATTTGAGAGTCTTCCCTATAGATGAGGCAAAGCCATAATTAAAGATGGGATCACTACGTCAGAATGCAGTAGAGAAGGTGTAGAGGGACAGAAAACAAAGCCTCCATCCATAGGATGTCTAGCAAAGGAACACCTTCAAAACTTTACACAGACAATATCACATGATACTAGATTTGGAGAAAGGCCGGGGTAGGGCCAGAAACTGAGATGGGAAGAAAAGAAGGAAAAGAGGACAGAGCAGGCTGCTCTCAGAACCTGGCCAGAAGTGCAGCAGACCAACAGGGGAGTCGGCGGCAAGGAGGGACAAGAGAGCACGTTAGACACCATGAAGTGCTTTACATCTTTTGCCTCATTTCATTTCATGGCGGTTCTCCAAGTTACAAGTTATGATCCTAGTTTTACAGCTGTGGAAACTGAGGCAAAGAAAAGTCGAGGGACTTCCCCAGAGTAGGTCGTGGTGCTAGGATTTATGCCTGGTCTACTTCCAAGGCTTCACCTCTATCAGTCAATCAGAGCAAAAGGAAAGTTCCTGTTACCGAAGGAAACATTGGCCGGGCAGGTCAAGCAGAGTCAGGGAGGTCTTCCAGGTGAGTGCAGGATGTGCCTTCAGCCAGGTGAGCTGGGCCAGCAGATACGTTCTGCTCTTGGCAGAAGAGGGAAAAGAGAACTGTAGTTACAAGTTTTCTCAGCTTCTTCCCCCAGCCAAGTCGACGTCACGTTTGTTCTAGGGCCATCTTTTATCCAAATAATATCTTAGTGTTTCCTCAAAGAAGATATCAATGTGCTTAGTTTGGGTGCACTGACTTCTTTTCAGTTTCTTATTTCCCTGGGGCCGCATTCTCTTGACACATCTCTCTTCCACACATAGCAACCACACTAATTTGGAATTGGAATCCTACACAAAGAGGGAAAACACCCAATAGGGAAATAAATCCTTTTTTTTTTTTTACCCACCATCTATTTAGTTGGAGATGATAGGGGTCCTGCTTCAAACACACTGCAGTACAATTAAATACATAAGCAGAAAGAATCCTTAAATGTTCCGATTTGCTCGCTGTTTACATTACAAAATTAACTAAATACAAGAACAAAGGCAAACATTTGCAAATGGAGGAGAGAGGTGGGCAGCCAAAAATGTACCAGGAAACAAAAGAGGTGGTTTTCTGCTTTTTAAAAAATTGATAAATCCATTCCACATGACTCCTTGTCTACCACAGATTTTTCTTATCAATGGGTACATAAATAAAGTACATCTAGAAAGCTGTTATTATGGAACAAGTTCAAACGAAAAAGAAAAAAATGACAGAATGCAGAGAATATTCCTATGTAAATCCTGAATTCGAGAATGCCAAAAACCAATGGAAAATGACAGTGCCAGCTGACTTAGGACTTAGGACGAGGCCCTCAAGGATGCTTCCACTTGCTAAGGCTTCCCATTTCAGTCTTTGTCTCACTCACTATTGGCCAATGTAGACCCCACTTCTGCCACTCACTCGGTGAGTGTATGAGGCTTGGAGGAGTCAATTCTGCCCTCTGGGTTTCAGGATTCTCACCTATTAGGTGAGAGGCACAGGATTGACAGATTCTCCAGATACCATCTCCCATGGTTCAGTGCAGACTATACATCCCACTGCCTTTTCCCATTCATACTCTGGTCTAAGCCAGAGCCGCTGGATGTGTAACTCTAAGGATTCTGTAGAAGGAGGTGCATCTGGTCTTTGGGTGCTTTTCTTGAAGTAAGACACATACACTGTGCATAAAACATGCCACCACCACCCAGGCAGGAGTCCTTCTGCACTTTCTCCTTATGGGGCAGGCAGGACTGCGAGCTCTGTAATGTGATCACGTGACCTGGGTATCCCAAGAGTTAGCTATCTTGTGAACCAAAATACTGTGGCTCAGTTTTACTCAAAATCTAGTCCAGCCTGTTCATAAGCAAATCCTCTCCCATATAAAATTACCTAGAGTTTAGTTAAGTTGCCCCAATTTTTTTTAGTTCATAATTATTTTTATTTGTTCTTTAACACTAATGATAATAATAGACAGTACACTGTTCATCGAACCTCGTGTACCTTTTGTAATACATTTCCATTTGATGAACATTGATACTTGGTTAGGAAATGTGTGATCTCATAAGAGCAGGTTTCCTCAGGAAAAACCACTCTCGAAAACAAGTGAGAAGTTTTTGTTCTAATTCCTGTTTTAGACATGTTATAAACATGCAAATTTATTTCCCAGTTGATTCAATCTGCCACCTCTAAATCTTTAGGGAGAATTACAGAAATGGAGATAAAATCTTGGTAATTTATTCAATTTTATCACTTCTACTGATCCCATAAAAAGACTCCATCTGTCAAATTAGCTTTTCTTAAAAAAAAAAAAACACACACACAAAAAACCTTTTATAATTTTCTTTATATGGGAATGTTGAAAACGAGTAGTTTAAGTATCTGTGTCATGAAAACTATTGACGTTCCAATAAAATCTGTTCTTTCTAAATTATCTGTTCCTTATCCTCTTTTGAGAGGAAACTTCAGCTTCTATCATTTGTTTATAATTTGCTTGTGCAGCTTGGGATTTATTGCTTTGGGTGAATATATTATGGCATGTTTGGGAAGTGTAGAATAAAATATTCTTATGTTAACATATTCTGTGATTTGGATTCCAGTCTATAATCAGTACATCTTTCTTTTAAAATTTCTGCTGCCTTCGTTTTATGGAAAGCACAAATAGTAAGCATAAAGAGACGAGAAACCTAGCTGAATCCCATCTTTTAAAATATATTTTAAACCTTGTTTCTGTAATCACAGGCTGCATGAATGCCAATGCACCTGAGTGGCTGAGCTCCATTTGAGAAACAACCCCCCTTCCCTCCCACCACCATGAATTTGCTGGTGTCTAATCTTAATCAGGCCCTCCTTGCACTAATCTTTGGTTAGCTCTCCCATTCTCTCAGTGACTATGCCAAAGCTTTACTTTTCTCTCGAAGGGCCCACCATCTATTGTGAGACAAAATACAGAATGCCCAGTTAAATTTGAATTTCAGATAAGCAATGAGTAATTTTTAGTGTAACTATGTCCCGTGCCACATTTAATATGTCCTATATTTTTATTTGCTGAAATCTGGCAACCCTGTCTCTAACATCTCTTCCTCTCATAGCCACCTTTGTCTCCTGGTAAAATCTAAAGTCATTAGCAGGAACTCCCTCAATTTCCTGCCATCTCTTCTTCAAATTCCCCTACCTTAAGACACACATTTACCTGTTTCCCTCCCACCCCAGCCACTAGCCTGTTCAAGACCAGCCTCCACAGTGAGCTCCTGACCACTCCTGTGTGAGGTGTCCTAACACAAAAAAGTACAGAGCCTGAGGCTATGTGGCAATATGAATGCCTCCTACAGAGCCCAGCACTAGATGCACATGTTTAGTGGAGGAAAAGCAGGTTTGAAATGTATGGAGCCAGAAGCTAGTCTATGGAAAACTTCCAAATTTTACAGCTCAAAGAGGAAAGAAGCCTGATAGTTTTCCCAGATTTGACAACAATCTTAAATATTTACACAACATCATCAATAATTGTTGTGATGCTCAAAGAAAACTTTCTAAACTATCAATTTTTAAAAGTTTGAACAACCATGCTAGAGGAAAGAGAAAATTACCTATTTACTCTACAAAAAGTGATATTGCAAAATCATTATCGTATGAATCAGTGATTAAAACCATGAATTCAGGGGCGCCTGGGTGGCTCAGTCGTTGAGCGTCAGCCTTCGGCTCAGGTCATGATCCCAGGGTCCTGGGATCGAGCCCCGCATCGGGCTCCCTGCTCAGCGGGAAGCCTGCTTCTCCCTCTCCCACT